GCAGTTGATGTTGTTGTTGTTTGTTCGTTTTACTTTTAATGATTAAATTGTCGAAAAAATTTTGCTGCTGGCATCTGTAACGTCAAAAGTCAGTGAAACATCAGACGCAGTTGAGCGCTCTGTGCAGCTTTTGCATACACACACACACACACACACACACACACACCGACACCCACATACATATGCAATGAATTGTAAAGTTAACGCGCGCTTAACTGTATTTACCCTCCGCTAGCTCTTGGGTCTGCCAAAGCTGCCTTTGGACACGGCTGCCAATTTCAATGCGCAATTACTTGGAATTTGTTTGAAGTTGAAGCAAAGCGGCTGCAAAACTTTTCGCTATGTCCCAATACACACACACACACACACACACACACTCACACGTATATATTAAAAATTTAATTAGAGTGCCTTGCATAGTACTGAAAAAAATGAGAGAGCATTGTAAGCGTGTGTAGTCGACTGAAGAATACCCTGTAAACTGTTGCTGTTGCTCACTTGATGTGACTGTCAAACTGCTTGCAGTGAATTTCAAACTGTTGTTCAGTAGATAGACGTGACCTTGATAATATACATAGCTACTCCAGCTGCACTTGACCCGCTGATAGAGTTCTCTCATGAGCAATGCATGTAACTAATATACCCGCCCGTCATTTAGCACGCAGCGAGCATTAACAAAGGAAGAACCAGCTTACAAGGCAAATTGCAGAAAAGCAAAATGAAATTGAAAATCAAAACAAATCGAGCAAAAGTTGCCAACAAATTGAGTTGAAACACGAAACGTGCACATTGCATGTTGTTGTTGGAGAGGAGGGGGAGGTTAGGATGAGCTGACCTATGTATGTATGTATGTAGAAACTATTGTTGTTGACGTTTGTCTCTCTCTCTGTCTCTGTCTCTCTCTCTCTGTGTGCGTGGCAGCAGCTCAACAATTTGCCGAGTTGCATAAGCCCCTGTGATAGCTCGCAGATTAAAGCCGCCAAACTGCAATCGGCGCTCAATGCGAATGAGCACTGTGTATGTGTGTGTCTGTGTGTGAGTGACAAAGTCCATGCGTGTGTGTGTGTGTGTGCAAAGGGCGGCACAGTGAGCCTATTTGATCTGCTGCGCGTCCTTCGGCTTACGCTTTGTCAAGCTGTGTGCTCGCTACGTAAAGGGTTTCGCTTCTCCCACTCTCTCTCTCTCTCTCTCTCTCTCTCTCGCCATCTCTTGTCCTGTTCGTCTTGTTTGTTGCTATAACGGTGTCCAAGCAGCTCAGCGACGACGTCGACCCAAAGCCATAAATAACGACACGTTGTGCATTTTGATGTGGCTGAAGGACTGAAACTGAAACTGAAACTGGAACGGGAATGGGAATGGGAACGGGAATGGGAACGTGAACTGGAACTGGAACTGTGACTGAAACTGTGACTCTTTAACCCAGTTTATGGGCCACGGCTGTTGGGGCGGTCGCTTATTGCGGATTGGACTCTGGTCACACTGTGGCCGTGATTGCGGCGCCCTTTTACGCATCATCGATTGACCCGTTGCGGCCGCAGCGGGAGTGCGAAGGGGACGGAGCTATATCATCATTCACATCAGCTTTGGGTTTAGCTTCACTGCGTATTTTCAGCTTGTGTAAAGTGTTTTATTTTCCAATATTATTTCTACCCACTCCATCTCTCTCTCTCTCTCTCTCTCTCTCTCTCTCCCTCTCTGTCTCTCTCTTCATGTAAGTTGTTATTGGAAATTGATGTGAATATGTTATAGATATCTTCATTCATATTGCACATCGAATTGCACGATTAAGGATCAAAAAAACATTTATCTCTTAGGTATTTTTAACCCTTCTCTGCGTGTGTGATTGGTACTTGGGTCAGCTGTGATTGGCACTTGTGCTGCATGTAAATGAGCCCCGAATTGCGTGTAAATGGATTAGATATGAGTCGAACCCATCATAATAGCAAACGAAATGGGTCCTACTCAATTGCCTCCATATACGAGTATATCGATATTTTTATAGCATTCGATGAATCGAATATTCTATGCAAATATGAAATGAAGCAACGTAAATCAATGCATTTTTCTTCTCTATTATTTTCCTCGATTTGTTTTCATTTTTTCCCCCAATTTGTAGCTGTTGTTGTTATTGTTGTTGTTATTGTTCACATTCGATTCATAACTCCCATAGTACATACAATGGAATATTTAATGAAAATATGAGCAAAATCAATTTCCAATTCAATTCAATTCAACAATTTGGCAAACAATTTGTCAAAAAGCCATTGTTTTTTTATGCAAATTGTTAACGAACGAGCATGGGGAGCAACGGGGAGGGTCGAAAGCACAAATCTATGGCTATAATAATTGTAGTCGCATGTGAATGGATGGGCCATAAAATAAAAATAAGGCCAGTGTTGTAAAGCGACGAACGTATTTCAATTAAAGTATGAATACAAAATAAATGAAATAAATAAAATATTACGTCATTTATTCAGCAAAAGCCAAACAATTTTGCAGAGATATATGGATATACATAGGGGTATTTATGTGTACAATATGGGTATTACTATTTGTAGCTGGATCTAGCTTAGATTTTGAGTTAATAGCTTAACACAAATTTGATAAAAAAAAAAAAACGCGCAAAGCCGGTTAAATCCTATGAAAAAAATATTTTGTAAAATATTTTAATTTTTATTTTATTTTTATATTTTACTAGAAAGTCAGGATAACATAGTTCATACATATATGTAGGTATTTACACGGTCAAAGCTTTCTCTCTCTCCCTTTCTCTCTCTCTCTCTCTCTCTCTCTCTCTCTCCCTCTCTCTCACATCAATTTGCTGCATATTTGATGAATTTTGTCAGTTTTGGGATTTTCATAGTTTCTGTTTAGCGCGGCGTTGCCAGACTATTGTTTTTTTTGCTTTCTTTGCTGTGTCCGACAAAAGCTGAAATTCCCTCTCTATAGGCAATAGTTTTTATAGCGCAGCTAGAAAATTGTCGGTATTTTTAGGTGTGTGTGTGTTGTTTTTCTCATTCTATTTAACTGTTGATTTGTTGTTTGCGTTTTTCTCTGATCAAATATTTGAACAGTTGCATTTTTACAGTTGGTATTTGTTTGGTATTTTGTTTTGACTGTGATTGAATTGGGATTTGTTTGTGCCCGGGACGATATAGAAAGATAGACAGAGGGAGAAAGAGACAGAAAGAGTGAAGGAATGAGAGAGGTGGACAGGGAGATACTCAGAAGGCGAGAAAGGGGGAGAGAGAGAGAGAAAATGTTGAGAGATGGACATGTATAGGGAAGGGAGAAGAACAGAAGGAGAGAGAAATATAGAAAATGAACAGAGAGAGGGAGAGAGAGAGAAAGAGAGAGGGAGATTGAGAGAGAGATTGATAGATGGATTGGAGAAGAGGTAAACTGAAATCTAGTTCTAAAGCTATATTAACTCATATGAATTTCGTAAGGTAGCTAAAGTTGAAAACAAAGTCAAAGTGGAATGGAACACTCAGCTGTTGGTTTAATTGCTAACATGAGCTTTGCCAGGCAGTCGAAATTCTAGCCCGGGGCATTAGCATTTGCAAAAATAACAAAAACTTGGAGTAATTAAATGCTGCGAATAAATACTTTAGCCGAACTTGACAGCAAATTGGATAAGTTGATGTAAACTCTGTGTAATATTATGAAATTTGAATACTCTGCCCAGGCTGCGATTCCCAGATGTTGCCAAGGCGAAGCCAACTCGGTTAACACTTTGCCCGAGCGTTCGCTGTGGGCGTGTGCTTTGCCCAAATGCCGTAACTTCTTCAGGGGCTTCTCTCTACCTCTCTCCCTCTCTCTCTCTCTCGCTCTCGCTTCACTCCCGGCTGGCATTTCTTATTTATGGGGCTTCTCAGCTGTTTGTTTGTTTGCTCTCTCTCTCTCTCTCTCTCTCTTTCGCTGAGTGGAGGAGGTGGCGTCCATGGACGTGATGCTGTGGGCGTGGCAAGTGCGTGGGCCGCCTGCGTTGCGTTGCTTATCTCTAAGCTCTGCTTAGCGACGCCCACAGAACACAATAAACTTGCTTCCGGTTTGCCGTTATTTTTGTTTCGTTTTGTATTTTTCTGTTTTTTTTGTTGTTGCTGTTTTCTTAAATTTAACTTTTGTTTTCGTCGTTTCCTGCCGCACACAAAGCGAAAAGATATTGTTGCATACCTTCAGGCAGCGGCCAAGGGGTAGAAAAGACAAGAAGCTTGCAGCACTCAATCAAAGCATACCTATCTAGGTTTATGTGTATAGAAATGTAAATATGTATATATGTGTATAATGGGAATAGTGTAAATATGTATATATGTATATATGTATATATATTATATTCAATAGAATACCCATTCATGAGATCAACGAGTGTTTCTGTGTTGTCCCACCTCCGTATCACCTATCTATCGCCTCCATTGAACTAGGAGCTTGACATTTGGAATATATGCACTATATGCTTTGGTTAATTGAGCAATAAATAATTTTTTCCAATATATCTATGAATGGGTATTAAGCAGTCGGTAGCATCCGACTGCAACTTTCTGAACTTTCTTTTATGTATTATATTTATTCTATTATATATGTATGTATATATATATTTGTGTATGTGTAAATGTATGTGTATGTATGCTGTTTCAATTCTCACACGTTCCGCACACACGCACAGCGCAAAAGAAACACCAAATTTGAATAGAATAAATATTAGTGATATATATATAGATATATATATTCGATAATCTAATATATATATGTATATATTAAACAGTTTTTAAATTATGCTAATAAATAAACGCACTAGAGCCAACAACGAGAACAACTGCAATTCGAATTCGAGTTCGAAATCGATTCAAGTGTTGCATAACAAAGAAAAAGCAAAACAACGAAGCAAAAAGTCGAAAATGTGAAGTCAAAACAAAATGAAGTGTAAAAAGAATCAAGCAAAACAATAAGCGCGAAAATAAAAACACCTCACACACACATACACCCATACCAACACACAGGCACAAAAGGAAGAGAGGCCAGCGAGAGGAGAGCAAAGCGAAAGCCAAAACGTTTACGTCGCGCTTCAAGCTGTAACGGTTAACGGCTGTCACGCGTCTCGCATTCCATTTCGTTTCAATCCGTTCCGTTCCGTTCCGTTTCGTTCCGCACAGTTTCGTTTCGTTTCGTTCCGTTTCCCGTGTCGTTCCAATGGCTGTTCGTTCCTTATGATGGAGACATTTCTTGTCCTGGGCCTGTGTTTTATCCTGTACGAAGCATTGGATTTCTTTCAAGGCTGCATCCATAGCAACACGCCCTCACCGAGCGACCAGATCGAGGCCTATCGCCGCGAACTCGACGAACAGCGCCAGCAGCAGCAGCAGGAACAATTTCTGGCCGGCCTCACGCCCCTGCTGGGCGCCCAATTCGCAGCTGCTGCAGCTGCCGCTGCCGCTGGCTCTCAGTCGACGCTCAGCAGCACGCCCACCGCCTCCACAGCGAGCGTCATTAGTGACTCGTACGAGCAGGAGCAGTCACAGTCGCAGTCGCAGTCACACTCGCAGTCACACTCGCAATCGCAGTCACAGTCACAGCAGCCGCATTCGTTGAGCACACCCGGACTGTTCCGTCCGGCCGCACTGGGCTATTACGATCCGGAGGATCCGTTGCATGCCACCTCGTCGCTGCCACGCGACTACTACTACCTGCAGCAGCAGCAGCTGAAGAACAAGGCCAGCTCAAAGTCGCTGCTCTCGAAGTTCTCCGCCACCAATTCCGATAATCGCATCCACCCGGAGGGCAGCGCTCACGGCGTGCTCGGGGCGCACGGCTCGCCGCACACGGTTGTCACCACACAGCCGCTGCCCGCGGGCGAGTCGGCGGCCAGTTTGGGGCTGTTCGACTGCCAGCCGCAGCTGTTGCCGTTGCTGCCGGCGGCGCCGCTCTTCCTGGAGCTGAAGCGTGCCATAATCAGCACGCAGGCGGCGACGACGGCGACGACGCGTCGGACGAGCAGGAGGCGTTGCCACATCGACGTGAACGAGCAGGCCGAGCAGGAGCAGGAGCAGGAGCCAGCAGAGTCAGAGTCAGAGTCAGAGGAGGAGCAGGAGCAGGACACAGAGGAGGACGACGAGCAGGAGACAATTTGTCCACAGTGCGTTGAGGAGGAAACGCAGCAGCAGCAGCAGCAGCAGCAGCATCAGTACGACGAAGCCGAGCTCCCACAGCAAGTGCTCGACCAGGATCCACTCTCCAGCCACGCGTCGGACTGCCACGCCGGCGGCGCCAACAGCGAGCCGAACATCTGCGCCGCATCGCAGCTGCCGCGGATCCATCACATCGCCATCGACGACATTGGCATCGGTGGGATCGGGCTGACAGCGACCAGCGGGGAGCCGAACCACTGCCTGGCCACTAGTTCCAGTTCCAGTTCGCACGCCGATTTTCGTGAAATCGAATGCGAACGCCTGCGACGCAAGTGCGTGAGCGTTAAGCGCATCTATAGCATATCGGAGAAGTTCTAAACTTTCAATCCACCAATCGCAAATCGCAATCGCAAAATCGAAAATCGAAAATCGAAAAAAAAAAACACTCTCACACGAAAAGCAAAATCAAATCAAAATTATCAAAGCTCAACTCATTTTTTTGCGCTAAACTCACCTTTGCACCAGTCGAATTCAAATATATCGATAATTATCGAACCAAATCGAGCAATCAAAAATTGTACAATCAAATCGAAATCAAAATCGCAATCATCTATCGCCTCACAGCAAACAGAAAAGCCAAAATATAAACAACAAAATTCAATAATCGATCATCGATAATCGATAATCGCAAAACAATGCAAGCTAAATCACAAAATTTCCATCTGCGAAACACCCCGCACAAGGTTAGCAAATCACGCTCCAGCACAGCAAACGAAAACGAGAAAATCTTAAGCTCGATGCGAACTTCAACACACGAATCGATAAATTTTTTGTTTTTTTTTTTCGGATATAATTCAATCAACTCAAATTTGCCAATAGAATATTTTGATTTCTTGCACTGTCATTCCAAGAGAGTTTTCTTGATTTCACTATTCACCTTATTCACCACACCTGCCAAGTATTCACCTCGCCACCAGCCTCACTCTGCGATTCTCAAATTGAAATTTCTTTGCTTTGCCATTCACCAAACATCTTTCTCTCTCTTTCGCTCTCTCTCACACACATCTGTATATCGCTCACCCCCACCAATGCCTGCTCTAGTCCTCTAAGTGTTTAACCTCTTCTATAATCGTATTTCCAGACAGGCGCCGAACAGCAGTCGCATGGTGCGGCCCGATCACTAGTAAGAGACTGACTAAACCTTAGATTATAGCGCCAATGTTTTCATTCCATTTTGTTTTCGATTCGTTTGTGCTCTGAACCCAAAGGCGATCTGGCTTCGAGCTCATTTTATGTTATCGATAACTTTTTGGCTTTGAGTTCATTTATGTTATCGATAACTTATTGGCTTAAAAAGCGATTAAAATATATTGGGGAACTGACAGTTGTCGAGTTTTTATTAAGGTTAGGAGTTGATTTTAAGTGTCTTTTATTATTTATCGATAATTTTGTACGGCTTTAGGCTTTTTTTTTTACTGTAAATTCATAGAATGTTGTTAAATATTATTGTTTATTAGGTATATCTTTTAAGTTTTTGTTTATGCAGCAGATTAATTAATAGACCATAATGAATTATAAATAAATATAATAAAATTAAAAAAAAAAATATATTTTTCAATAGAATTTTTTAATTTTTTTATTTTATATATTTTACATAATTTAAAAAAATATTTTTCAATAGAATTTTTTTATTTTTCTATTTTATACATTTTATATAATAAACAAAAAATGTTGTTTTCAATAGAATTTCTTAATTTTTCTATTTAATACATTTTTTATATTAAAAAAATATATATATATTTTTCAATAGATTTTTTTTTTTATATTTCTTTTATATACATTTTATAAATTAAATATATATATATATATATATATATATATATATATATA